CAGACAGAACGAATACCGGCCCCCATGTCCTCTGCCTTGTTCAGCCGTCACAGCAGCACTGCTGGCACTTTGTGATGATCAGTCCTTCACACCTCTGCCCGCCCCCACCTCCACCCCCCAGCGGGCTGAGCTTCCCTGGGAGCACAGACCTTGTCTGCTGACCCATCCGCTGACCCCATGGCACAGAGCAGTGTTCAGAATGATTTGTTGACAGCAGCTGAGAGTGAGACTGTGGGAATAGGGAAAAAAAAAAGATGTAGGCCAGAGTAGTCAGGAAGGTGTTGGAGGAGGGCCCAGCTAAGAGGCAGATTCACCTAACACTGAGCACCTTGAGGCCCCAGGTGCTTCCCCTGCATGGTGAGCACTTCTTTGTGCCACACAGGAACTGGGTCTGGCCCTGGCTGCTGTGGCTCAGTGGACTGGGCACCAGCCTGCGAACTGAATGTTGCCGGTTCAGGGTGCACGCCTGACTTGGGGGCCAGGTCCCCAGTTGGGAGCTAGTGAGAGGCAACCCATCCATGTATCTCTCACACACTGATGCTTCTCTCCCTTTCTTTCTCCCTCCCTTCCCTTCTTTCTAAAAATTAATCAAATCTTTAAAAAGAAGAACTGTGTCTTATCACTTGCATTTTACACGAAAAGGAATTCAGAGAGGTTACTTGCTCAAGGCCACACAGCCAGTGAATGGTTGGCTGGGATTAGACTCAAAGGCACACAGAGGTGTGGATGGCTATGGCAAGGGCAGCTGGATGGTGAGGGAGTTGACATGTTTCTCCTCTGTGACAATGTGGGTCAGGGCCTGAGGTTAGACCTGAAGGGCCTCCCTGAACCGTCTCATTATTCCCAACGCAAACCAGAGCTGGTTCCCCATCGTCCCACCACCCTCTCCTCCAAGGAGCCAGTTCTGACTCAGACCCATTCCCACTGATCCTCAGGGCGATTCGGGAATGAGCTCGGAAATAGGAAGGAAACCTCTCTCGGATTTGGCTTCCCCGCTTTGCCCGAGGTCCTGGCTCTAGGTCTGGAAGGAACCACTTTAAGGATCTCTCCCTGGGGACCCATGACCAGAAAGACAAATGATCCAGCAAGTGTGGCCAAGAGACAGGCAGGGCAGGCAGCTGCAGCTCCACCCCATTATCCCCCATCTCCCACTGACCCCAGGGCTCTCTCACCCAGGAAGCCAGTCCAATTTGACCTCTCCTCCATGACCCTGCTCTACCAGTGTGGTGGAGGGTTTGTGTCCACTGGCACCTGGGACAGGGTCCTGTCACCCCTCAGAGTGGGAGCTCCTGAGAGCAAGGTTCCTTCACCACCTTCCCCCTCAGGCTCCTGAAGGCGGAGCTGTGTCTACCTCCTCGGACTGGAGACTCTCAGGGTAGACTCAGTGTCTACCCCCTCTGATAGAGGCTCTGGCCGGGAAGCGATGTCACCTCCAATCACCTCCTCAAACCTGAGGCTGCCTCCCCTCACCCCACAGCACCTGCATTTCCTCCTGAGTCCCCTTTTTGTAGCCCAGCATCTGTCTTGGGCCCCTAGGAAAAAGCTGAGAAAGGGGCCAACCCGGATGCTCCTTTAAGGGGTGGGGGTTGAGAAGTCAGACACAACAGCCCCATCCTCCCCCTCCTCCACAGGCCAGGTTTCCTGCCATTGACAGCATCCCAGCTGGGCCCTGCCCAGCCTCCATGCTTAACCCCATCATGACCAGATCTCAGGGCTACTGGCCCACACCCCCGATCTTCATCTATAAAATTAGGAGAATGGAAGTCCCCGTTTCGTTTGGTTGTTTTGAGGATTAAATCATTTGAGTGTTAATCATTTGTGTGAGACACGCACAACAGTACCTTGCATATAGAAATCTCTCAGTAAAAGTTAGCTGTGATTCCTAATCGTGTGAGCTGACATCAGCCATTTCACTCTCTGAGCCTCCCTCAGTCTCTTCTGCTGTCAAGTGGGAAAAATAATAAAACCTACCCCAGAGATTGTCCTGGGCATGAACTGTGATCATGCACGTGAAAGCATTCGTACAGTGTTGTAACAACACACTATGGAACTATCATGGACAGAATAATAATAACCCCAAATAGGTAATAAAAACCTCTTGGAGGAGGTGGACTCATTACCTTACTTGACAGGCAGAGGATGCAGTGGAAAGAGTGGGTTTAGGGTTGGGCTTGGGCAAGCCTCTCCCCTATCTGATCCAGTTTCCTTACCCTGCTGGACCCCTGTCTAGGGTCCTTGGGAAGGGCAGAGAAGAGCAGAGAGCACAGGTGTGAATTGTAACTATTAAAAACTGCTACAAGGGCCCTTGCTGGTGTAGCTCAGTGGACTGAGTGCAGGCCTGCAAACCAAAGGATTGCGGTTCAATTCCCAGTCAGGGCACATGCCTGGGTTGCAGGCCACTTCCCAGCAGGGGACACACAAGAGGCAACCAAAAACTGATATTTCTCTCCCTCTCTCCTTCCTGTCCCCTCTAAATAAAATCTTTTTTAAAAAAAGGGAGGATTTGTGGAAAGTGACCAGCTAAAGGGGGGCAGGGACCCCTTGGCGGGACCTCATTTTTTGAGCTCTGGGCATTGCAGAGTTTATTCCCTGGGAGAGGGGAGGAGCCTCCTGTCACCAGCACTGTAGGGACAGGTAACAGCCCTACATGAGGTGCCAGATAAGAAACTGTGCTGGCTCTAGAAGTCCCCAAGATGGGGCAGAGGAGGAAGGAGGCCAAAGGACCCAGGTTTGGCCCCAGAATAATCCCTTCTTCCCAGCCAATCCCCTTTGCTATCAGCAGACTTTGGGGAAAAACACCTCCAATGGGCTTCCAGGTGACCTCTAGGTGACCTTCAAGCCAAGACTTGCAGGGACAGGCTCACCCTGAACATCTGCAGCCCCACTGTCCCCACCCTTCGGCTGCAGATTCCTGGCCTCACCCCTATGGAGAGCAGGCTTGCCGTCACCCACACACCCAGACCAGGACAGGTCTAAGCCTGCTACAGAGGGAAAAAGGCACAATCAGTTAGAACCCGGCTTTGTCTTCCCATTCCAACCAAGAGAATTTGCCAAGGCCCAACAGCGGGGGCTGACCCCACGTGAAGAGCATGTCTAACCCCAAGACTCTGAAGGAAGCCTGGGAATCAGGAGATTTTGTTTGGGGTCCTAGCTGTGCCCGAAGCTCACTGTGCCTCTGTGCAAATCATTTAACCTGTCGGGGCCTGTGTGACCATCTATAAAATAAAAGAGCTGGACCTGGTCCATAAGTCCTCTCCAACACTAAGACTGATCAGGAAGGAGTTAACAGTCCAGGCTCTGGGTCAGGAAGGCAAGGGTTAATCTGGGGGGGTGGAGGCTCTCTCTGCTTTTCCTGTGGAGAGTGAGGTTTGGCTGCCACCAAAGTTACTTCTAGTCCCTGCTGTCCCTCCAGCCCTCAGTCTGGCCCTGCCCTGGGTCCCCGCATTCAGCCTCCCCACACAGAGGTGAGTGTACCTAGAGCCCATTGCTGGGGTGGGAGGGCACCCAGGGACCCAAAGGCAGAGAGGCTGGCCAATGAGCACAGTCCCCCAGCCCTCAACTAGAGCAGAAGACTTAAGCAAAGTTTGGACCACTAAGCACAGGACTGGGAGAGAGTGGGCAAAGGGATGGAGGGCACAGGGATGTCTGCCAGGCATCTAGGGTGGAACGTCTGTGGTTGGGCATCAAGGCCAGCCCAGAAGGCAGGGAAGGGACAGTAGATGGCAGACTATTTTGGTCCCTATGTTTAGAGACTTTTTATAGTTTCTGCACTTGGGACTGGGAAGGGGAGGAGATGACAGGGGATGTGAGGGTGTCCATGAGGTCAGATAAGAACAGTGCCCTCCCGGGACCTTGGAAACTGACCTGTTGCCTGGTGTAGCCCTTGGGAGCCAGGAAGGAGGGCGCTGTCAGGCTCTCCTCACTCTCTGGGTTCCCAGTTTTCTGTGGGCTGACTTACTAGACACTAGCTGGGTATGTGTGAGTGTGTGTGTGTGCACACATGCACACACAAATCTCAACAAGTTGTGCTGGGGGGGATGGAGTTGGCAGGGTCTCTGCCTCTTGGCCCCTCACTGGGGCTCCCCTCCCCCATCCTTGACAAATTCTATTCCTTTGTTACTTCCAGACTTGAGGTCTTCTGAGCACCCAGAACTGACTGACTCTCTCATCTGAATGGAGGATGGGGGGAGTGAAAGGGCAGGGGCGGGGTGGGGTGTGCTGAGCCATGTGGGTGGCCCCTTCTGTTACTGCCAAGGAAACTGTCAGCTTTTGATTTACAACCCCTCCTGGCCCCCTTCCCCTGAAGAAGGGAGGTGGAGGAGAAGGGTCACTGGGTCTCCGGATGAGAAGAGGGCAGAGACCTTGAGGGCAGATTTCTGGGAGTGCAGATTTTGGAGTTAGTGGAAGGAAAATTTTCAGTGAGGCAAGAGGCCCATCTCTAACAGAACTTGCCTGCTTTTATAGCAGCAGAAACACAAGCAAGAAGAGGGATGTTCTGATGGGCAAGTGTGAGATCCAATCTGAACCAGTTCAGAACTGAAAGGTGAGAGACCTAGGTTCTAGACTGGGTCCCTAACTCTCAGCAAGCCCTGAGCAAGCCCCCTCGCTCTGGGCCAGGGTCATGTCTATGAAATAGAAATGCAGAGGCAGATAAGGTGATGTTTACGATTCGACTTTCTGGAATTCTCTTGACAGGGAGGGGCACAGAGCAGGTAGCTGGCTGACATAACCTGGTGACCACTGCCTTCTCCTTCCCAATGGCCCTGCTGGGCCTGGGCAGGGCAGTTGGCTGCAATTACTGGAGACCTACCCTGTGGTTATATCCCTGACCTCCGGTACTTGGGGGTGGGAAGGGTGGGCCCTGCTGGAGCCAGCCTCTGCTTGGGAAGCCTCCTTGTCTTGGACTCCAAGTTGCTGGGTTGGGAAGAGGTATTTTTTCCGGTTGAGGCCACTTTCGGGAATTGGGCCCGGACCAGCCCCATTTCCTTTTCCCAGTGTTGCTTGTTGATGCTTGCTTGGCATGGCCCTGTGATCAGATGGGGCAACACTCAAAGGGGCATATGTTTATGGATGACCAGGGAGCCCCTGCCCAAAGTCTCTGAGGAATGGGGGTAAGGATTCCCTGAGCCTCTGGCCCCAGGGCAGACGGTGACTTGGATGGGGGAGGGGTGGTTGGCCGATCCTATTCCCAGGAATGCCTCAAGAAGAGGGGCAGGGATATCGACTCTCCCCCTGACCGCTTCTCTTTCCCTGCAGGCCCAGGGAGCCCCAGCCAATTGCTCTCAGCAACTCAACTAGCTGCCTACCTCCGGCGGCTTATGGGGCACTGTCCTGCACAGTCCTGCTAAGATGCTCCTGGCCTCTCCCTCCACCCCATCCAGAGCACGGACCCCCAGCGCGGTGGAGAGGCTGGAGGCTGACAAAGCCAAGTATGTCAAGACGCACCAGGTGATAGCGCGACGCCAGGAGCCAGCCCTGCGCGGGGGTCCTGGGCCACTCACGCCGCACCCCTGCAATGAGCTGGGGGCCCCTGCATCACCGAGGACTCCCAGGCCCGCCCGCCGGGGGAGCGGCCGGCGGCTGCCAAGGCCGGACTCTCTCATCTTCTACCGCCAGAAGCGGGACTGCAAGGCTTCCGTGAACAAAGAGAACGCCAAGGGTCAGGGACTGGTGCGGCGCCTCTTCCTGGGCACCACCCGAGACGCCACCTCCAGCAGCCCAGGCCCAGCGGAGCGATCTACAGCTCCTGGGGGTTGGGGGACGCCCAAAGGTGCCCCGGAAGAGGTGGGAAAGCGGGCGCTGTGCCCCACGTGCTCACTACCCCTGTCCGAAAAGGAGCGCTTTTTCAACTACTGCGGCCTGGAACGCGCGCTCGTGGAGGTGCTGGGTGCTGAGCGCTTCTCTCCGCAGAGCTGGAGCGCCGATGCCAGCCCCCAGGCCGGAACATCGCAGCCACCCGCCTATGGGGACACCAGCGACTGGACGTCCAGCGATGGAGGCGCTGATCACTCAGATCGTTCAGGCGGAGGACGCGGCGGCGAAGGCTCAGAGGCGGCAGGCTCGGAGCGGGACGGGCGCCCCCCGGTGTCCGTGGTGGAGCGCAACGCACGCGTCATCCAGTGGTTGTACGGCTGCCAGCGCGCCCGTGGCCCGCCGCGCGAGTCTGAGGTGTGACCGCAGTCACTCGGGAGCGGGCTCCCGGGGAGTCTAGGGTCCGGGGATGATCGGGGAGTAAGCATGGGGCTGGACCCGGGCATGAGCAGGGATGCCCTGCCACTGACACAGACTGACTTTTGGCAAGCCCCCCCTTCTGGATCTGGGCTTCCCCAAATAAGCATAGGGGCATGGGACAAAATGATTCCCAAGGCCCTTCCTAGGGCAGACAGCGGAGATGGAGTGGCGGCCTCATGGCCCCTGTGGAGGTGGGTCTGGGGAGTGAAGACTGGGCTTAGAATTTCAGAGAACCTGCTGAATAAAGTCAAAACGTTAAGCCAGCCACGAGGTTGATGTTGAGGAAGAGGGGGAGGGAAGGGTTTGCAGGTGTGCATTGCGTGGGTGTTGGAGTGTGGGTTCCAGGCTGTGTGACTACCCTCCCACCCCCTCCGGTGAGCACTTAACATCTCTGGGCTGTACGTGCACCTTTCCCGTGACCAAAATGTTGTAAAGCTCATGACCACGAGCCAGCACATAGAAGGAGGTGCTCAGTGGATGACAGTTGCTATAGCCACTACCAACTTAGAATCTACTCACACTATTAGGACCGTCTCCTCTACCAACCGGCAGGGCAGCCAAAACTAGAGCGGGGAACCAGAAATGGCATGTTTAAAGGGTTCTGGGGAGAGGCCTTCTCTAGAAATCTGGGGCCCACAGATGTCTACAAGGTCCCCTTTCGTGGAGTTCGCTGACCCCTTTGGATTACTAGGTATGATGGGCTGAGCTAGAATTGAAGACAATAAAGGAAAGGACCCTTCGCAGGATTGTGCCAACCTCACATCCTGCCACTGCCTCCTTTCCCTCAAAGACACACAAGGTTACCTGCCTTCCTCACATGTTTACACCTCTAAGTCTTCATTCACCATCCTCCTTTTGCCTGGGTTACCTTCTCCTTTCTCTCCACTTATCCTTCTAAGATTACACATGTTCATTCTCCCACAGGAATTTCTGAATTCCCCAGTCGGCCTCATCTCTGAGCTCCGAAATACAGCCCTATAGTTTGAGTCTCAGTTCGTCACCTTGTGTCAGACCGGGGATGGTCTGAGTTCTGTTGTTAGCCTGTGACATCTTAGTACAAAGATGGTGCACCTAGTAGGGTCACAGGCAATGTTTGCCAAACTAAGAGGCTGAACAGAGCCATGGAGTCTGTCCTGGGGGGTTCCCCAGCTTCCTGGGAAGTTGTACCCTAAATCTAACACAATCTATCTGATATCCGGTCTTTCCCTGGTCATTTTCTCCCTGGATGTTTGTGAGATAAGGAGGGAAGGATTCCTCTAGCGGACCCCCACTCTGATGTTGCCCGCCCGAAAGAAAGCAGCTTTCCTGGCTGTCCCGACAAAGGCACGCGGTCACACGGGCTGTCGGTGCAGGGTTTTTATGTCGGTGGGGAGGATTGGGCACCCAGTTCGGCTGTCTGGCTAGTCACCTTTGGGCGCAACCTTCAACCTCATCTCAGCCAGTTTGTGAGTGAGGAAGCCCCACTTGAAGTCAGCGGCCGTGTCGGCCTCCTGCGGCTCGGCGCGCTGGGCAGCCTCCTCAGTGGCCTCCTCGGTAGCCTCGTCCCCAGCTTCGAGGTCCCGCTCCCGGGTGGGTTCCGCACCGCGCAGCACAGACGCGGCGGCTGCCTGCTGCTGCTGCCACCTGCTGGCAAACGCATCCCAGAATCCTGGCCCGCGCGGCTCCGCCTCTGCCTCTGCCAACGCTGCCTGCGAGGAGGGCCGCGCCGCTAGCGGGCTGGAGGAGACAGGTGGGGTGAGAGATTGCAGAGCACGAAGAGGAGGCAGGTTCCAGGGACCAGTAATGGGGCCCAGGGACTCGGAATGGAGGGGCCCGGGAGACTGGGCGCAGGTTGGGACCTGGAAGCCGGGTGAGGGCTCAGAGGTGCCAGAAAAGGAGGCTGGGGTGGGATGGGGTCTGGGGATTAAGACAACGACTCCGAGCGAGGCCAGAGGAAGAAAGCCAAAGGTGCCCAGTCTCAAGGTGGACCCTTAAGAAAGGGGCGGGGCCCAACAATTCGCAAGAGTGGCGTGGGACCCGGAGGGGCAAGATTCCGGGAGAGGGGCAAGATCCTGGAAGAAGGGCGGGTTCAGACTTTGGAGGCTGTGGTCAGGAGAGCTAAGCGTGGACCAAGGGAAAACAGGCGGGGCGGGTACTGGAGTCAGGTTCTGAGATGGAGGGATAGGGGGACCAGGAAAAGGAGGAGTCACCGGAGGAAGACGGGTGGAGTGACCCCAAGGGGAGAAGAAAGGTCTAAATCAGAGGTTCAGGGGAAGGGGGGGACTCGAAAGGTAGCGATGCAGTGTAGGGGGTATGCCTTGAAGTCTGAGGAGGAGCCCCTACAAAGCTGGGAAAGAGAAGAGATAGGTTCTGGGAGAGATGGGTGGGTCAGGGGGCCCAGGGGAGAAAGGAATAGGAGCGTGTCAAAGGAGTGTGTGTGACTGGGCTGGAGGAAGGGCCAGGGATGGAGGGTGAGCCAGAGATAGACTAGGAGGAAGACCGAGGCCCTGCGTCCTCCCCACTAACCCTCCAGCATCAAAATCCTGCTAAGACTGGTTCCTAAACTAATCCTCGGATCATCAGAGAGCTGCTGAAAATCTGGATCCCAGGCCTCAACCCACACATGCCGAACAGATCTTTGGAGAGTCTGGGAATTTGGGTTTGTCACAAGCTCCCTGGGAGAACTGAGAGTTTAGACCTCAATACTCTAGAGTTTAGAGTATTTGGGAACCACTGATCTGGACCCCGTCTGTTCCAAACACCTAAAGGTTCTCTGCGCAGTTCCCTGAATAAAGAGAGATGACCACACCCCTCCCCCCAAATGGACAGACAGAAAGAGAGCCCATAATACCTTCTAGCACCTCAGTCCTAAGAGCTGGTAAATTCCTCCAGAGATCTAACCTAATTTCCCAGACAGGCTGATTTGGCCTCTTACCTGCTAAAAGAAACAGATACAGCAGGGGCTGGCCCTCCCCAACCCTCAGACAGACCATATGTATAGGCCGGAACCAACACCTTCTGCCCCTGCTCCTCCACACACATACACGTACTGGTCAGCACAGGGTTCCGGTGGCAGCAGCTTGTCCTCATCTTCTTTGTTAAACAGAGATGACATTGTCAGCCAGCCTTTCACCCCGACCCCCTGAACCTGGGAGGCAGGAGCTGGGAGTCAGTGAGGGGCCAAAGCACCGGTCCCAGGGCTCCACGGCAGCCTCTGCCAGGTTCCTCAGGGCTGCGAGGGAAGAAGGGAGAACTCACCCGGCGGGCCAGCTGTGACATGGGATTCAAGGCCTCTGGGGTCGGTTCTGCTGTCTCAGGCTCCACTAAGGCGGGATTCTCCTTCTGGGACACAAGACTCCCCATTCAGCATGAGAGAGGCCCCAAGGGAATAGGAACCTCCTCCCCCACTGCTGGCCTGGTACGCATACGCCAGGCACCCCAAACTGCACAGGACCAAATACACGCCTAGTCCCCTCACACCCTCCACAAGTACATACAGGTACTCCTCTAAGCAAAGCGACCAATCACATACATGAGCTGTATAGAAAAATCCCTTCAGAAGCCCTTGAGCACACATACGTGCCCACCTACAGACACATCCATATACACCCAAAGACATGTGGACACTGGGAACACACACTGATGTAGACACACCTGTGCATGAGCATGCCTCTACGTGGCTACAGCTCTTCACCTACATGTGGCTGTATGTATGCACTGTGAGGCACTTAGACAAGGACATGTACGCAAGTATAGTATTCACACTTGTGCACCTCTGCAACTGCAGACAGCTGCACAAAGGTCCACCCACAGCACACAAAACCCCTGCACCCATTCAGATACCAAGACACAGATGTACACACAAACACCCGTCCCATACGAACAGAACACCCATCGACCATGCAGGCACAGGCTTCTGCCCAAATGTACACACCTGAAAATACCTATACCTGGTTCACACCTGCACATACACCTTCATTGGGGATTCCACATGGACACCAATCCTAATACTGACCCACAAGTACTTCTACACATGCCCAGCCCCAGACACCAACCTGTCTAGACATACACTACTTTACACACACACACCACAGAATGTATCCCTGCCCCTGCCACATCTATTTGCACAATTGCTATTTATCATGGCCTCTAGATGTAAGACTGTTTCAGAGCCTTTTCAGTTTTTTAACATTAGGATAAACATGGTCCAAGTGTGGCTCTGATCTGATGCTGTGACAGTGACCCTCAGAATACAAGTGTCACTTTGCCTACCTCCTGTACCAGGGGGCTCACTTCCCCTCAAGGTAAGCCATCCCACTCAGCTTAGCTCTGCCCATTAGAAAGTTGTGTCAAGCTGAGTATACCTTATGTGGCCACTGCCAATGGGCCTAGAAGGATGTCTTCCCTGTGGCAGTCCTTGAGATCTCTGGAGATAGTGATAACCCCTCTGGTGTCCCCCAAATCTCTTGTTGAATGTCCTGGCTTTCTGACACTGCACCATGCCATGTGTCATCCCTGAATGTGCTGATTACTTCCACACAAATGTGCCCCACCCCCAGCCTGTCCCTTGCCCTTCCTTGTGCCTTCACGCCCGCTGCTCCCTGTTCCAGCCCCACATAGCAAGCATGGATCATACCCACCTCCTCTGCCAGTTCCTCCTCAGATTCCCCGCTCAGAGTCTGTAGCACTTTGGATTTGTAGGTTTTCCAGAAGGTCTGGTTCATAGTTGCAGGGGAAATGGGTCTGGCACCCAGGCGCAGGAAGGCAGTGAGAGGCTGGTGGGCACCCAATGGGTCTGGGTTTAGAAACTCGGTGAGACAGAGAGCCTGTCCCAGGGATCTGGTGACTTCATTAAAGATGCACCAGCCTCTCCAGCTGGCACAATGCCCAGCAAGTGAACTGATCCAAAGGTGGGGGTGAGGGTGGGGGTGAGCCAGAGCCAGCTCTGCCACCTCAGCCCCTTGTCGTGACCCACATTGGCTAAGAATAATGAAGACATCTCTCTCCACAGTGGCCTCCTTCGTGGGCCTAGAGTTCTTAAATTTGATCTCTTGGAATGGCTCCAGAAAAATCCTCTTCCTTTCACAAAGTCCATTTCCAAAGTCCTTGGACCCAGGGCCCACATTGGAGCCCCTGTGACTATAGCCAAACTCGCTGTGCCCTCCACAGGGCCCTGCCCTGTGTCCCCACTTAGCCTCTGCCAATTGCAGTGGGAAAGTCTCAAGGCCCCCAGGCAGTTCCGTGGGCTTACATTTCACTGCTTTGTCTGGGTTGGAAACTGATTCCCCAGGGATGCACGTGCCTGTCTCCCTGTTTCCTGGCAACAGGTTCCAAAGAGCTGGAGCCCCTGAATTATTGCTGAGCTCCTCTGGTCAGCCTGGAAGGCACCAGGCCCCGGTGAATGGGAAAAGGCTTCTCCGGCTCTCTCCCTACTCTGAGCACCCAACACCCAGGCTGTAATTCTCTCTCTGCCTTCGCTGCTGCTAGCCCACACGTGGAAGTCCAGGGCTCAGAGAGAGGAAGCAAAGACGGGAGGCCCTCCCAGGAACACCTCCTTTTCTTGTGGAAGGAGCTGATCCCTCTTAAGTCTGAAAGAATGCCCGAGCACTGTGATTTCTGGGGAAGAACAGCCCTTCCACTGTTTTCTCGGGGATTTGGCTGGAGGTGGATGGGGAGGGACACCAGAGGGAATAACTGGGGAGAAAGTGAGAAGAGGCTAGGATTCAGGGAATGGAGATATGTCAGGAAGCCCTATGAAGACTGGAATCCCAAATTTATTCAGTCTCATTTATGAAACTCATGCATTCAGTTCTCATGTATTAATTTATTCCCATCACAGACATTTTTCAGCATCTCCTGGAGGGACTTAAAGCATGTCCCTCCTGCACCGCGGAGGGAGAACCAGGAAGGAGTGATGGGGCCAGAGAACGACGCTGAGATAGGTGGTGACGGTCGGAAAAGGCAGGGTAGCGGGACGCACAGGAATCCCCATGAGCAGACACCACCCCCGCCCCCTTCCCCTTCCCCGGCGACGACCCGAAAGGCCTCACACCCACGGGTTAGGGCATTTCGTTGAGTCCTCCCCAGGGCCGTGTCACTGACACTTATAACCGCCCGAGATCGCTCAGGGCGCTACCCGCGCGAGTGACGCCATCAGAGACGGTCCGCTTGGAGCCCGCCCCACCCCCGGGCGTCCGTGACGTCACTGAACAGTCCGGAAGCGCAGGCACGCGAACTTCCCAGGGCCCTCCGGTTCCGCTGTCACTACCATGGGTCGCTCCCGCCGGACGGGTGCGCACCGAGCGCACTCCCTGGCTCGCCAGATGAAGGCGAAGCGGCGGCTGCCGGATCTGGATGAGATTCACCGCGAGCTGCGGCCCCAGGTTCCCTCGCGGCCCTGGTCAGACCCAGGTGCCCAACCGGACCCTGACCTGCCGGGGGGCGGCCTGCATCGCTGTCTGGCCTGCGCGTAAGTCCAGGCCCCGGGCGCCCGGAGTCTCCTCTCCTGGGATCCGTGGGTCTACGGCCCTCCCATCCCTTGAGACCCCAAGCTTGGTGTCAGGGAATGAGATGCGGTCAGGGAGATAGATGTATCTGAGAGGCATTAATCATCCCCTCACTCTCCTATTACTCCTCATCCCTACAGGAGGTACTTCATCGATTCCGCCAACCTGAAGACTCACTTCCGATCCAAAGACCACAAGAAAAGGTTTGAAGAAATAAGGACAGGATTAATAGATGGGTGTCTGGTTTACAGGGCAGCTCCCAATTCCTCTTTTTTCTCCCAGGTTAAAGCAGCTGAGTGTGGAACCCTACACTCAGGAAGAGGCTGAGAGGGCAGCGGGTATGGGCTCTTATGTGCCCCCCCAACGGCTGGCAGTGCCCACAGAAATATCCACTGAGGTCCCTGAGATGGATACGTCTACCTGACATGGCCCGAGGATGCAAAAAGCAGAGAAGCTGCCCATGTTGCAGGATTAGGCTGGGAAAGACCGTGCCAACCTTTTTTGGCCTTGAGTTTGTTGAGTGGATGGCTTCTTCTGGGTGCCCTCACCCTCAAATAAAGGAACTGGATAAAGAGTGCCTGCTTCTGACTCCCTAACCTCCAGGGCACTTGCCTTACTCCTGCCCTGTGATGACTTCTCTGCTACTCTACTGTGCAGGACCTGGGGTGTCTATTCCCTATTTGGTAGCTTCGGAACCTGCATCCTTGCCTTCCCCCAGGGGTCCTGGCTTCCAGGCTGGAGACCCCAGGCAGAGCCCTGGTGCAGTAGGGAGGGATGGGGAGTAGGGTCAGGTTTATATGCACTGCTTCCAATGAGGGCAGAAAAGAAGTGGTATCCCAAGATTGTAGTCCCTGGTGAGTTACCTACCCCCCAGGGCACAGGTGAGAAGCTTCCCACTTCTTCATGGGGCCTGTGGCGGTGGCTGTTGCCCCACCATCTTCCAGACAGCGTAGCAGGAGCCACCCAGTCCAAGGACCGCCAGCAGTGTAGCCACGACCCCAACCAGTCGACTCCGGGGCTCTGCCTTCAGCTCCCCAGCTACCTGCATCTAGGGATACACAGAGGGTCTACTTGAAGGGTCAATTGAGACTACTAGTAAGGGGAGGTGCTGAGAAAATACAGCTGGGTGAAGGAGATATGGCCGCCATCGCTGCCCCAGGGAGATTCCACCCCAGTCCCTCTCGCTTCGGTGCCCATCTAGGCCCTGGCTGCTCAGGCGGCAGGGAACGTGACAACATTCCCTGGCTGTTGGAGCTGACAACCCAGCCATGATAGGGGGAGGAGGAACGGGTCAGTGCCCAAAATGGTAAATTAGGGGTACTTACCTGCAGAATCCGGAAGTAGCCAGGAGTCAGGCGTCGAAATTGCATGGTGGGTGCCACTAGTCTCCCTGGCAGCCTGTGGGGTAGAAGCAGGAATGAAGACCCGTGGTGTTCATGGTACCAAGAAGTAGAAATATCAGGGGAGAGAGGTTTCTGACCTCTGATATGCATAAGAACCATGCCTTTGGATGCTCACCAGAGTCTACCCTCCTAGGTCTATCGAGGGACGGGGCCGCTGCACCTTTAAATCTGGTCTCTTCCCCCTCCTGCCTGCCCTGCTAGCCTTAGGAGCAGCTGTCAGGAGAGATCAGCATCAGGCCTGGGCAGCACCTCCCCCACTCTCCAGGGAGGCCACGCTGGGTAGCCAGGAAAGGCCTTGCCTGACAGCGCTCAGGAGTCTCAGGCCTGTATCAGGTACTGGGGGGCTTCCGAAGCCTGGTCCTGGCCCCATCCCTATCTCAGATGATTGGTTGTCACCAATCAGCTCTCAGCAAAGGAGGGAAGGAGTACCTTAACCCCACCCCACCCCAAAAATTCAGTGCTCCTTTTTCCATTGGTCTTGGCTGGATCACCCACCCCTGCCTTTGGAGAGAGCACATACCACCCATTCCCCCAACATGGAGTTCCTGCAGGGACTGTCCTACCCTCAGCTTGGGAACAATAATAAAAGATTTGCATACATTGATTAGCAAGGCTTATTATCTTTTAGTACATAATAGATAGCAGTATTCTAAATACCTGTATTATATTATTTCATTTGGCATGGATTATCTCGTAAAATAAAAAAGCCATATTTGCAGAATAGTATGTAGGATATCTATATACTTAAAGGTGGTCCCCCCTGGGGAATGAGCTAGGAAGGTCCTCCTCTTATTTAATGACCTACAGTTATGTAACGACCTTTGAAATTTTTATAGCAGATATGTAAAAAGGACTTTTATAAACTCATAAAATTACCTTAAAATAGAAGCTGCCATTTATTGTGCCCCTAACTGCCTTGCCCTGCCAGGTACCGGGTGCCAGAGGCACAGAGAATAGACACTGTTGTGGTTGTTAGGCCCCAGTCCTCCTAGGGGAGTATGTGAATACGAGTGGTGAGTTCTTGTCTGTTGCTCCTCTACAGGATTGGGGAGGGCAGAGGCCGGGTGGCTTCTCAGTTCTATATCTTGTGCCAGCTCAGGGTAAGTGTTTCATGACATCAGGATAGTGCAGATGTGTCTGCCATAGGGAGGTTGTTGTAGGGAGAAAGAGGCAAAAAGAAAAAAATGAGGACTCAGCATAGAGGAGGATTGGAAGGGACATGAGGATTGGAGGGAGCTAGACCTGCAGGGACCTGGTGAGCTGGGCTTAGAGGGCTGTTATCAAACCCACTTTCAGAAGCAGAAACATGCACTGAGCCAGGAAGGGAGCCCCCTTTGAAGGAAGCGCCAATGATCTGTACTTGTGTTTGGTGCCTTGAGTGCAGGTGAGATGGGGTCAGCAGAGCTGGCCGAGTTCCAGAGACTCAGTTTTTATGTGAAATTATTAAATGATGGCAATCATTTAACACACATAACACACACATGCACACACACAACATGGGTATCTGTGGGCCAAATTCAGACTTTAGGTCTTGGTTACAGGCAAAATAGTGATAGGCTTTGAGAGCCAGGTCTTGGGGCACTGGTAGAGATTTCAAATTAGGTGACACAGTCTTAGGAGTAGGCTCTGGGAAGGCCTCCCCATAAAATTAAAGCAATAACTCAGCTCTTCTTCATGTTAGAGATTTCTGAATACTTAAACGACCTCCTCACAGCACTAAGGTCTAGGTGTCCCCCCCCCCCCACCACCACTTTAGAGGAAAAAAAAGTTCAGAGAAGGGTAGAGTTTGGGCTCGGTCTTAGAGCAAATGGAACGGATTCTGATTCCAAATCCTGGGAGTCCCCTGGCCTCTGCTAATAATGAAACGGCAAACATTTAGTGTGTTTCAGATGGTCTAAGAGGAAGACTTTTAAAAAAAGAGTTTACTATTTTTAGACAGAGGGGAAGGGAGGGAGAAAGGAAGAGAAACACCAATGTGTGTTTGCCTCTCACGTGCCCCGTACTGGGGACCTGGCCTGCAACCCAGGCATGTGCTCTGACTGGGAATCCAACCAGCAACCCTTTGGTTCACAGCCTGCCACTCAGTCCACTGAGCCAAGAGGAAGACTCTTAACATGGGCTTCAGAATTAAGGGGCCCATAAACTTGGATAAAATATATATATATATTTATATATATATATATATATATATATATATATATATATATATATATTTTTTTCCCCCACTAAGCTCTAACCCAAACTTGCTATTTTCTTCCATACGGATTGAAGTGGTAGCAGTATCTGTAGCTTTGCCTCCAGTAGAAACCATAGATTTTCATATCAAATTGTGATGATTGCAAGTACCTCACAATATTTATGCTCATAACTATTTCAAAGTCCTGATACTTTTTAACCCCCTGTTAAATTGCACTAGTCTCCAACACTCCTGCAGCATAGCTGCCATAGACTGGGCACCGCTGTGAGGGTCCGGGACCTAATGGTGAATCCTCCTGTTTTCCTATCAGTGACTCAGGTTTCTCCATTACTTCCTTGTATTCTCTATCTTTAGTTGATGGCTGGTCAGTTTGTTTGATGTAAATCAATGACCACCTCTCAGTTTAATGTTCTTATTCAAGCTGAGCAACAACACACCGATGTTGTTAGAAAAGAAAATATAACTTTGATAACCTGCCAATCTTGTTATTAAATGTTAATAAAAACATTACCATACTGTAAATTTGTGGTTTTTACATTTTTATACTAATTGTCCTCCATGTAATCTTCAGCATTTTGTTTTACACTTTTAAGATTATTATTCTGAGTAAGAGTCCAGAGATTTTACCAGGTTGCCAATAGGGCTCTCGGTACAAAAAGATAGGGGCTAAGACCCCTTACTCTAAAAGATGTAGAGCTATTGATTTGGAGATTCTGCACAGCAGCCCATTTTACAGACAGGAAAACTGATGCAAGGTGGGTAAATTACCCCCCAGTCCCGCAGCTAACAAGCTACAGAGCCGTGCTTTGCGGCTTCGTTCACTGTTCACTTTTCAGCCCCTCTTTTCAAGGTCGGGTCTTGTGAGGCCAGTTTGGGGCGGTACCCCAGGCCAGCTCTGAGGTCACAGGGGTCAAACACCAACGGCACCACCCCCGTATCGAGCAGAGGGGCGTGTACGAGGCGGCCTGGTGGTGCGCCAATGGCTGACTCAGTGACTCACCTGGCAAGCCACGTGGGCCCAGGTATGCTGGTGGCTCCGCCCAGTACCCAGCCCGGCCCCTCCCCAGCCCTGGGCTCTGAGAGCGGAAATTCCTGCGCTCGCGGGACAGAGCCAGTGCCCATCCCATCCGGCGGACTCTGCCATGGAACCAGTAGAGACCTGGACCCCTGGGAAGGTGGCAGCCTGGCTGAGAGGTGGGTGGAGCCGGGGCAGAGTTGGTCTCGAGGAGCATTGGGACGGGGAGAGGTGAAGGAAAAAGGGCCTGCTGAGGCTGTCAGTTGGTTAGTGTGTGATCAAGTGTTTATAAGCGGCTACCCTGTATGCGATACTCTGCCAGGCAGAGATGAGCCCAGGAGGCCCGAAGAACCCAAACGGGTCTCCCATTGCCTCGAGCATCCCAAGAGACTGCCAGGCTGGCGAAGGGAAGGCGGTGGGTGTAATGAAAACAAAGGGGGACCGTCCCAGCGCGGCCCACACCCACTACTCTGAGTGTTAATCTGAATGTTAACACCCACTATGAGTTCATTTTCCCTCGACCCAGGGCGTAGAGGGCTGTTATTAAACCCATTTTTCAGAAGCGGAAACTGACGCATTGAGCCAGGAAGTGATTTGCGCAGGCTTTGGAACAGGGCCGACCCTTTTCCCTTCTCCCCACCGGTGCTCCCAGCGTGTAAAGCTGAAGCCCGAGCCAAATGAGAGGGTTGGCACAGCCCCTCCCACCCCAGGGCCCTCCAAGGGAGATGCCCCCTAGGCTCAGTGAGCCTAAATGGGTGGGAAGGGGCCCAGACACCGGACAGACTCAGAGAGGTGAAGACCTCTGACATGCTGGTAGAAGGGGAAGGTGAGTCAGGTGGTTTCTCCTAGAGGGGGAAGGGGAGAGGAGGAGGCAGCAGTACACTAGGGTCAGGTTCAGGGTAACCAGCCTTCATAAAAGCAGGGATTCAGGGTCGAATTCACACTCCCAGACTGGGTTTTAGGCCCAGCCCCTGCACTTGCCACTCCTGTGACCATAGGTCTCAGTTTTCCTCTCCACTAAGTGAGAATGGCAACTCAGGCGTCACAAAATGCCTAGCGAGTGACACAATCGTGCCAGGTGTCTGGGCTGTGTAGCTCAGCGTCAGGGTCTGTGGGAGACAACACAGCACACTCACTGTACATGGGGAAGAAGTCGCTCAAGGGCCTACAGCCCTGGAGTGCCAGGTTTATGAACCCCTGTCCAGGGCCCTAACGTCGTGCAGGGAATGAGGGAGAGCTGTCGGTCCCACACAGCTTCTCTGAGAAGGCATTTGACTTGCTTGGAATGGCAGGAATTCCTTCAAAGAGTGAGCAAACTGTTAACCTTTATTTGTATCAGTTTTCTCATCTGTAAAATGGGAATAACAGTAGTCTCTAGCTTCTAGATTTGGTAAGGATCAAATATCTGAATATGTTTAAAGCCCTTAAAATGTTGCTCCGCTCATAGTAAGCATTCAATAGAGATTTTTCTTATTTTTGAGGGTCTACCTTGTGCCACGGAGGGTTGAAATTAGAGAAGAATGGTTATTTAAGGCCCAGTCCTTGAAGAGCTCTTGCTAAAGTGGGAGAGGCTGTGCTCAGTGACAGGGCTTTCTGGAGGCACGGAGGGCAGTGGGGGCAGCCCGGGGAGTTGCGGAATGCTCCCCGGGAGGGAGTTAGATGAAAAGGGAGTGAAGGAGCTGGAAGAGCAGTCCAGGCAGGAGTAGCACCTGCGAGGACCCTGAGACACTCGAGCATTCCAGGACCTTCAGGGAGTTGGTGCCCTGGACCTGAAGTGTCAAGTGTGAGGGGCTGTGTTGAATGATGAGGCTGAAGAGGAGGGGCAGCCTGTCATACCAGGCCTTAAAGACCATGGTAAAAAGCCTGGTGATAATAATACAGTGGCTGTTACTGTCAACCACAAACCAAGAAATGGGCCAAGTGTTTGGCATGTGTCGTGTCATTTCCACTTGATTAGAA